AAATCCTGGCTCTGTGAGAGCTTGACCCCACCCGTTCTATTGTTCCAACTTTAAAAGAAAACCAAAGCCTCGGAAGCTGTTTATTGGCTTGCAGCAGACCATTTGGTGCCTCTGTCTCAACCTCTCTTCATAAAAAAGAACAAGAGAATATGTACCTCTTAAATCCATAATATCGTCACACTGTACGCCACTTCCAAAATTCGCTCCCTCCACGATTGATGATCAGTAGCAGCAATGTGTGCCGTCTACAAGATGCACTGCAGAAACTCACCAAGCCTTCTTAGACAACAAGTTCCAAACCCATGACCTCTACCATGTAGGAGGAGAAGTGTAGCAGATACGTGAAAGCACCACCATCCACAAGCTCCTTTTCAAACTACTCATCTTCCTGACAATAATTGGTAGCCTACTCAGTGATGGCTAACAAAATGCAGAACATGAAAGGTCTGAAGTTTGATCCCTGTTTTAAAGCTGCATGTACAAAACATCCAAGGCTGGTCTTATTTTCACTGGAGCCTGGGAGGTTGAAGTGTGACCTTATTGAAATTTATAAAATCATGAGGCATATAGAAAAAGTGAATAGCAAGGGTCTTTCCCTTAGAGTGGGAGGGGTGTTCAAAACTAGGGGTCACATTTTTAAGGTGAGAGGAGAAAGTTTTGAAAAGGATATGGGGGTAACTTTTTACACAGAGAATGGTTCATGTGTGGAATGAACTGCCAGAGGAAGCAGTGAATGCAAGTACAGTTACAACATTTAAAAGATATTTGAATAAGTACATGAATAGGAAAGGTTTGGAGGGATATGGGCCAAATGCAAGTGGGACTAGTTACGTTTGGGAATATGGATGGCATGGACTAGTTGGACTGAAGGGTCTGTTTCCATGCTGTATGACTCGATGACTCGACAAGACACTGAAAACGAGCATTACAAAATAAAATAGGACACTGAGTCACAAATGGAAATATTTGGTCAGACAATCAAAGACTTTATCAAAAAAGTACATTTTACTTATTGTCTTTGAGGAGGGAAGTGAGGTAGATAGTCCAGGAGGTTTAGGGAGTGAATCTCAGAGCGTGGGGCCTAGGCAACTAAAAGTGACGTGCCAAAGGTGAAGAAATTTAAATTGGAATGGGGCAAGAGATCAGAATTAGAGGAGTACAGATATCTCAAGCTTGTGGGGCTGATGCAGATGACAGAGAGAGGAAGAGGCATATGGCCATGGATGGATTTGAAAACGAGCCTTAGAATTTTAAAACTTTGATGCTGCTTGCCTGGGAGCCATTATAGGTCGGAGAGGATTGGAACAATAGGTTTGACAATAAGAGGACTGCAGGTTGACTGTTTCATTCTTTTTCAAAGGGAAAATTATGGCTGATCAAATCTTGTATCTTTGACTTTGTCTTGCTATCAGCAGCGAGTCATTTGACTCATAATAATCGGAGGCTGATCTGATGACTTGCTAACGTGATATTTGTGATCACAGTACACTAACTGACTTTCTCCTTACTTTTAAGGTCTAACAGCAAAGTCTGCAATTCAAAAGGCAGAACAGACTGCAGGCTGGTCACATTCCTTCTGCATGGGATTAGTTTTATTGGTTTAAATTCACATAGTGAGCATGTGTTCATCTCAGAAAATAAAACCTCTTGGTTTGCCTTCAGTACGCAGAGTGCATTCTCTCTAATGTCCTAATTTCATGTTTTTGTTTTAATTCCACTACTTTCACAGTGTCCAGAACATTTCAATTTGAATCCTTGAATCAAACCTGGAGGTGTGGTGCAGAACAGACATTTAAATTTTCTTGGTTGCAAGGTGGTCATCATCTTAATAAGATTACAGTTGAAATTCATGCAAGAGCACAAAAAAATTCATCCTGAATACTTATTCCAGACATAAAAGTTGTTGTAGTGCTGTTGTTAGTGTCTCTACTCTTGGCTGGAAGCCGTTATCTGAGTCTCGGGTCAGGACTTGGTAACCCTAGAAGGCACATCATAATGTGGCCAAGTTTGATTATCTCCTGTCCATCCTTCCAATTTGCCTGATGGAGAGGTCAGCCATCCTGCAGAAGGCAATGGCAACCCCCTGCAATCCCCTGCAATCCTTTGCCCATCTAGTGGGAGTCAGTGGCTCAAAACCTGGAAATGAGGATGGGATAAATACTGACAATAAATCCAGTGTGCAATTTTCCAAAGTTAAATCAGAGCTGCAGAATTATCAGGTTGTGTTTAGAGGGGAGAGGAAAACAAACACTTTCCCCAATTATTTCCACTTTTGGTATTATGAGTTGCTCAATATAACTGATGCTTTGTTTGTACTAAGTCATTGTTTTATTGTCACAGGAGTACTGTACAATCGTCATTATTCACAACAACGGGACAAAAATTCAATGTTATAATTTGAAAGAAGTAAACACAATTGTGCAGTTGACCAAATTTTAGGAAGAATCAAAGCCAAACCACATAAAAAAAAATCACAAAGCAAAGTAGCAAAAATAATTCAAATTGCAAAAACATTTTTCAGTTGAAAATCAGCAGAAATGAGCACAGTGAATGGCCAGTTGATTCCATTGTAGGGACAACAATTGACAATAAAAAGACACAACCAATACTCACTCATCTCTATCCACGTGGATAAGGAGAATCACCAGTTCGATTGGGACAACACCAGGTTCCTGGGACAAGCAAAGCAGAGACAAGCACGGGAATTCCTAGAAGCCTGGCACTCCACTAAGAAAGCCATCAATAAACACATAGAGCTCGACCCCATATACAGTCCATTGCAAAGGAAAACCAGAAGTGAGGTAATCCAGCCCAACAGACTCCAGAGTTCAAATAACAGGCGGGAAAACACAACAGCGCTTCATCGGAGGCTACACTGATGATGTTACCCAGTAGGGTAACGAAACATCTGTGGAACAATGAACCAGCTCGGCGAGCCAACCAACCACAACAACATCTCCAAAATGCACAAATACAAGAATTAGATATATTCGTCAGTAAAGTAGCAGGAAAGCAGATGGAATTTCAGAGAAAACTGAGGCCTATTGTGATTGATTTGAAGGAAAGCTGATAGAATATTTATTTTATTAATAGTTCATTTCATGGTACCCAGAACACTTTAGAGCCAATTTATGCTTTCAAAATTGAAACATCATCTTATTGTAGAGACCTTAGCAACTGATTCGAGCACAACCAACATGGTGAACCATATCTAGTTAACCTCAGTGATGAAAGTTGGCTGCAAGACTGGAGAGAATTCCCTAGGCTATATTATACCGACATCTGAGGGGCAAAATGTTGAGTTTTTGGTTTAATGGTGGCACTTGAGAGACAGTAGTCCCTCAGGCACGCAGTGAAGTGTGTTCCCTTGATATGTGCTCAAATCCATGCTGTGGATTTCAAACCTACTGACTCAGAGACTTCCACATCAAAAATATAGTTAAGTGTTATTGCAGGTCTTTGAATGAGGTGTTAGCCTCTGAAGCAACAGACTAATGAAGGTAACAGCACTGTGGAGGGAATTGTTTGGGCCTGGTTTGAATTGCTCCACTTTTTAAAAAAAAAAAATAACGTGTATAAACCGAGCCAGTTTTGAAGTCAAGATGGTTTTTGAAACTAATTTAAAGAATTCTGACAGGATTTTGTGACTTACTAGATTATTTAGTATTTTCTAGCTGTTTCATAAGTGAAAATGATTTTAGAAGTGCTATTTGGCTTATTTGGTACTTGTTAATGCTTTCTGATTGTACCGAACAATAGATTTCTCACAATTAGGAAGCAGATACTGGCTTGAAACTAACTGTCCTTTATCAAATTGGCCTTTGAAATGAATCCTGGACTTTATTCTGTGGGTGTTTCTAAAATATGATGCACTAAGCTGTCAGAACTCTGCTGAGACATAGTTTACTATAAGGTAATATAGAAAAGTAATACACTGGCAATTTTCCAAGCAGCAAAGAACAAAGTTTGGGGTTGGTGGGGGTGTGGGGGAGAATCTGTGTATTTGGGCATTCTTCATCTGAACTGTTTTAGGACCACTGTTCTGCCAAATCATATAACTAGAACTGAGGGGCTATTGTGGCGCAGTGGTAGGTCCCTACCTCTGAGTAGGAAGGCCCAGATTTAAGTTCCACCTGCTCCAAAGATAGATAATAACACATCTGAACAATTTGATTAAAAATGTCTATAATTAGGGCTGTAGAGAGGGTTTTAAAGTAATTTTAGAGGGGAATGTGGAGCTCACATCAGTCAGGATTTGTAAACTTAATGGCGAAGGACAAGGCAAGAGTGCAAAGTGCTTTGGTTAATGATAACCAGAGTTTGACAGGGAAGACTAACAAATCAGTCAGATTAGGGAAAAATAGCAAAAAACAGAGTTGAAAGTTCTTTATTTAAATACGCACTACATTTATCACAAGTTGACATGATAAAAGCATGGGTGCAGAATAACCAACACTATCATGGAGTTATAGAGGTCAATAGCACAGAAAAAGGCCCTTTGGCCCATCACATCCACGGTGGCAAGAAAGGGCGGCACGGTGGCTCAGTGGTTAGCACAGCTGCCTCACAGCATCCAGGAACCAGATTTGATTTCACCCTCGGGTGACTGTCTGTGTGGAGTTTGCACGTTCTCCCCGTGCCTGCATGGGTTTCCTCCAGGTGCTCTGGTTTCCTCCCACAGTCCAAAGATGTGTAGGGTAGGTAAATTGGCCATGCTAAATTGTCCATTGTGTCCAGGGATGTCTAGGTTAGGTGGGTTAGACATGGGAAATGCAGGGTAGGAGAATGGGTCTGGGTGGGATGCTCTTTGGAGGAGCAGTGTGGAGTTGTTGTGCCGAATGGCCTGTTTCCGCACTGTAAGGACTCTATGAGTGAATGAAATAACCACTCAACACTGACAACTGAATATTCACCAATATTTGACTGTTGCACATTTTGTAAATATTCTGTCTTGAACTTTTGTTTTCAAATTTGGTAATTATTGTATTTTATTAATTTAGGGAAAGACTTGGGCTGCTCCTGGAAAAGGTGATAAAGGTAATCCCGGTCCTTCAGGGGAAAAGGTAAATACTTAATAAACAACTATTTACATCAAAATTTAACTGGGGTCTTGTAGTTTTTCAGATTCACTCTTGATACTTGATTCCTTTATCCTGTCTAAAAGTATTTCTGTTGATGTTGTTGAATTTCATCCTTTTTTGAATATGGTGCTCCCTGTAGGCCCCATATCTGATCCCAATCAATTATAACTTGTTTCCAATTTCTTTTGTTTATCCATACCACCCTTTCTCAATGATATATCTTTATGCTGTACCTTTACAATGTTATTTATATAATGCATTATGGATATTGACTATGTGTGGGTAGTTGGGATTAATTTAGAAAGGCATCATAGTTTGTGCAGATATGCTGGGCTGAATGGCCTGTTCCTGTGCTGTAATTTGGTACTTTCTCTATTCAACTCTTGATCTGAAGTCTAATGAGCCAATGTCTCTTTTCACCTCAATCCTCATCTTTCCAGTATCTGCCTTGTTCCAAACTTGTTTTTCTAATTTTTTCACTAATTTACAAGTTTTTAACAAGGCTGAGCGCACTAGATGCTGGAAGGATGTTTTCCCAACTGGGGAGTCTAGAATCAGAAAACACAGTATCAGGATATGGGGTAGACAATTTAGGACTGAGACAAGGAAAATGTTCTCCACTCAAAGGAAATTGAACCCATGGGATTTTTTACCACAGAAGACACTGGAGGTCAAGTCACTGAGTATGTTCAATAAGGAGTATGTTTTACATATTAAAGGCACTAAGGAGTACGGGGTGAAAGCAAGAAAATGGCATAAAGAAAGAGGATCAGCTTGATCATATTGAATGGCGAGCAGGCTCAAAGAGCCTAATGACCTACTCCTGCTCTTAGTTTCTATGTTCCTATCTTTTTTCCATCTTATTTATGATTTAACCATTGTTACCTTATGATTATTCCTTGCCTTACTCACAGTGAATTCATCTACCTCATGTATTTCATTCCTCATTAACTAATTCCGACACAAATGTATAATGATGAAGGCAGGCATTGTGAATGTTCCTTTTTCAAAGTTTTCTCCTTCACTGATCCAAAACCTTGAAGGGACAATTCAAACCACAATCAATCTGCTTACGTTGCTTTCCAACAATTATTCTCCTACAATCAATCTCCTACTCATCTGTTCATGGCTTTCCTTCTGCATTCCTTTCTCCTGGTTTGTGTTCTGCAGGAAAAGTCCACTTGTGTAAAGATGTTGGGCCTCATCTTCTCATCTCCAGAGAGATGTCACTACATTGGGGGTATAAAGAAAATGTGGCCCCATGAGGGGAATTCCCACTCTCATCACCTGTGCCAGAAATTTGGACTGAGGTGGGCAAAGAGGCAACCTGCAAGCACACAGAGGGAAGTCAGGAACCCAGTGGAAAGACTGCTGAGGCAGTCATTTTGCAACTTTGACAGAGTTGAATGGGATTTGGAAGCTTATGGGAACCATCCCAGCTCAGTGCAGCTGGGAACCCTTCTGGAGATCCCTTGGGAGGTGCAGAAATGGTTTGAAAAGTTTGGGAGTAAGGAATATTTGTAGCATATTGACTTTAAGGAAGGTGCCGATTATGCACCAGGGAATGTGGAGCAGGCAGAGGTGACCACACATAACCTGGGCAAAACTCTGCCACCAGTTCATTCAGCCAGGCTCAACTGATCCTATCCTCAAAAGAACAGAAACTGCCATTGGACATGAGGGAGCTCACTCACATCATTCAGGTAGTGCAGTGCCCTGCTGCAGCCTTGTTTACGAAGAGAAAGGTCCCCAGGTAGAAGAGGCACAACCTCAGCAGGAGCATGGAACACCCTGAGAAACTAGTGGACTATGATAGACTCATCCTTCAGGAGACGTGGGAGCATCCATGCAGGAGGACACTCTCACTATCCAGGAAGACAGGGATTGAACTCTGTGCCCTCCTCCGCTGGAACTACTCATCTATAGGCCATGCTGGTAGCAATGATGGTCATCATATGCTTTAATGTCTTTGTCTTGGCCTTCCTGTTTGGACTGTCCTGTTTACCAAGGTGGGACATGCAGTCAGCTGTTAACTGCTGCATCCGTGCTGTTACCAACGCCCGCTTCACAGGGTGGCTGACTACTTCAGTGCTGATGTAGTCTCACTATAAAGAAAGAGGCTGGGTTATCAAATATATTCAAGGCTGAGTTAAACAGATACTTAATTAACATGGGCATCAAGGGTTATGAAAGGCTGGCAGGAAAGTGAGTTGAGACCACAACCAGATCAGTTATAGTCTTATTGAATGCAGGCCAGCTTAAGGGGACAAATGGCCTAAACTTGCTTCTGATCCTTGCATTCTTGTGATTTAGAGTCGTTGAAACACTGAGGATGGGCATTCACCCATAAGTATCCATGTAGCTTCTTTCCAAAATTGTTGACTGTTTCCTCTTCCACCCATTTGCGTGCAATGCATTCCAGGTCATTACTGCTCACTGTGTAAAGAAGTTCTTCACCACATTTCTCCTGCATCTCTTGCTCAAAACCTTAAATCTTTGTTCCCTAGTCCTTGCACCATCATTAATGGGAGCAATTTTTCTTTGTCTACCTTATCCAAACCTGATGTTCAGTCCTAGAGCAGTTAGAGATGGGCTGCCAGTATTATATTGACCATTCTCTGACCCATTCACTGTGAGTGCATCTTGAAGATGGGATTTGATTCAACAGGCATAGTTGAGGATCAAACTGCAGCACAAGTGGGCTGGATCCCAAGGTGTGACTGCAATTTCTATGGTATATGCAGCTAGTCTATCATTTCCTTCTGTTAGCAGTTATCCCACACCTAGTCTAAGAAAATGGCCATAAGCAAATTGTGATATTGACTGGATATTACACAATGGAAATGTTTCAGTGCAAAGATTACTTTGGCTTGGATTTGCCTTCAGCTAAACCATTACCCTCTGTCCTGGGGAACATCAGTACAAGACTCTTGAGCTGTAACAGGAGAGAAGCGACTTTATAGATTTAGAAAAAAAATCAGCAATTGTGTCCAACTGACACATGACCAGTTTGTCGCTGAGACTTAATGTGCAATCTCTTTTAACAGGGAACGTGGATAGAGTTATGGGAGATAGTAGGAACTGCAGAGGTTGGAGAATCTGAGACAACAAGGTGCAGAGCTGGATGAACACAGCAGGCCAAGCAGCATCATAGGAGCAGGAAGGCTGACGTTTCAGGCCTAGACCCTTCATCAGAGTCATACTCAGTTCATGAAATTTCATTAAGCGGCACCCTTAGAATGCATAGCCAAATGTATTTTTAAGCATATTAATATTTTAGGGATGAATTAGATCCTCCAATGCATGTGGCTTAATGGGATTCAGAGATCAAGGTGGAACTGAAAACATCCATTTAAAAAAAAATAATTGGTTTCGAGATGTGCTGTAGAGACCAAATTGATTCAGTAGCTCCTCAGCCAAGTGGAATGACCATATATGGAGCAGTTAAAATTTCAGACTTTTTACATAGTTCAAGACTTCATGGGAGACAGTTCAGAGAATGTCCACGAGAATAATCCCTGGTATAGGGGGACTGTTTTATGAGCAAAGGTTAAACAGGTTGGGACTCTACTCACTGGAGTTTAGAAGAATGAGAGGTGATCTTGTTGAATTACATAGGATTTTTAAGGGGCTTGACAGGTCAAATGGTAAGAGGATGTTTTCCCTCATTGGAAAGTCTAGGACCAGAGGGCAGAGTCTCTGAATACAGGAACACAAATTTAAGGCTGAGACGAGGAGGAATTTCTTCACTGAGAGTTGTGAGTCTTTCAAAACTCCTTGCCACAGAGAGCTGTGGGGGGCAGAGTTCTTGAATTTATTTAAAGCTGAGTTATGTAGATTTGGATCCATAGCAGAACAGGCTTGGGGGATGGCGGTTTAGGGGGGAGGGGGGGAGAGGGGTGGGGTGGGTGTTGAATGGCCTAATCCTGTTCCTATTTCTTATGAACTTAATGGTCTTACTTCAAGATTGCTGTTTGTCCCCCACATCCAATGCCACCCACTGTTCCACAAATCCAAGAATTTGCTTTTGTCTCTTCAACTCTGTTATCTCCGTAGTGTCGGTTAGAATATTTGTTTGGAACTAAGAAACAGCTTGGATCTGTGAATGGAAAATTGTGTTTGACAAACTTGTTTTTTGAGGATGTTGCTATCAATTGGTAAAGGGAGTCAATGGATGTTGTATATTTCAGAAGGCCTATGATACATTTCCCCATAGGATGCTTGTGAGCAAAATTAAAAAGCATAGTATGGAAGGTAATGTACTGGTATGGATTAAGGATTGACTAACAGACAGAAAACACAGAGTAAGAATAACTGTATTATTCTCACATTGGCAGGCCGAGAGTAGTGGGATACTGCAAGGGTCAGTACTTGGGCTCCAGTTTTTCACAATATATATTAATGATATGGACATCAGGAACCAAATGTAACATTTACAAATTTACAGGTTTATAGAGCTTAGCAGGAATTTATGTTGTGCGGAAGATATAAAGATTTCCAGAAGATTTGGATAGGCTCAGTTATTGAGCAAGTACATGGCAGATGGAATATAATGTGAAAAAAATGTGAGGGTATCCACTTTGGTAGGAAAAACAGATGTGCAGAATATTTTTGTAAATGATAAGAGGGTGGATAGTGTAGATGTACAAAGGGAACTAGGTATCCTTGTTAATAAGTTACTGAAGGCTAACACTCAGGTTCCGCAAGCTATTAAGAAGGTCATGAAATGACCTTATTGCAATATAATTTGAGTGCACCAGAGTGAAGTGTTGCTTCATTGTGTAGGAACTTGGTTGACCACAACTGGAGTATTGTGTGCAGTTTTGGTTTCCTTATCTCAGAAATAATGTATTGTCATAGAGGGAGTGTAAGAAGTGTTCACCAGCCTTGTTCATGGGATGCCAGGAGTGTCCTATGAAGAGAGCTGGGTAAACTGGGCCTGTATTCTCTGGATTTTAATCTCATTGAGACTTACTGAACAC